TTCCCTACAGGGAACCAGATAGTCTAGCAGTGGTCTGTTTAGGACAGCCAGAAAGGATTGTTTTTGTCAATGAGGTGCTGAAGCTGATTGATCGCGGTCAATATAGCAAGAGTGAACATCTTTCTGAGACGGTTGCTGCAGCAACATCCATTTTGTCTTATGTGGAACCCTCTTTGGTCCTTCCTTTTGTGGCTTCTCGGTTTCATTTGGCATTGGAAACGGTCCGTAATTTGCGTGCACTGCTTTGTTTTTGACAGATATTTGCATTCTCGTGATAGTAGGCATGCTTCCATCTATGTGAAGATTCGTTTATCATTTAACTTATTTCATAACCAATGTTTATGTATAGTCAGACGACTGCCACCCACCAGTTGAAAACTGCTATGATGTCCGTAGCATTTGCTGGCCGGTCAATTCTTCAGTCTTTCATGTCAACAGTTAAACCACAAGATCTTAGTGGTGATACAGATAAGAAAATGTTCCTCGATCTTATCGGGATTTCTCTATCAAATGCGCTGCTTGGCATGGATGCCAATGATCCCCCGAAAACTTTGGCAACAATGCAACTAATTGGTTCCATATTTTCCAATGTAAGCTCCTCACACTTGAAAAGTCTTTCTCATTGTCCAAAAGACTACTTTCCTTTTTTGTTTTCTAATTTTTATTTCTTCCAGATGGCTGTCTTGGATGATAGTTCTGAGGACTTGTCATTCATGTCCATGGTTTGCTTTTCTGAATGGCTTGATGAGTTCTTGTACCGTTTGTTTGCTTTGCTACAACATTTGGAACCCAACAGTGTCGTGTGAGTAGTTTATTTCACTCAGAATTCTTTGCAACATCGTGTTTTGGTTGATAATGGTCGTCTCTTCTAATTCGATTCCTACCATTTGATTTTTATTACAAAGGATATTTTCGTTCTCGTCTTCCTTTATCGTCGGGATTATATGTTGACTTTCTGGTGCTGCAGAAATGAAGGGCTAAGTTCATCCGCGACTTCAGGGACATTTTTGGTCGAGGAAGGTCCTTACTACTATTGCATGCTTGAAATCCTGCTGGGACGGCTGTCAGGGCCGTTATATAGCCAGGTTTGGGTCTATCGCTTTAGATACTCCAATATACTTACTTGGTCTAGGAAAGACAGGATTTTGATGATTTGGTCTGATCTTTAACAGGCTTTGAGAAAGATATCAAAGTTTGTGCGGACGAATATCCTTCCGGGTGCAATCGCTGAGGTTGGACTGCTTTGTTGTGCTTGTGTTCATTCAAATCCTGAAGAAGCAGTTGCTCAAATTGTCGAACCTCTACTCCTTTCTGTTATATCTTCTCTGAAAGAAATCCCTGTCACGGGATATGGAGGAAAAGGAAGTCCAGGCACTTTTGTTTCAACCAAGGTTTTTACCCGTCATGAATGTTTTTATTCTAAGGTATTTGTTTACTCTAAAATCTTGGAAATAAAATCTTTTTTTTTTGTCCTCTCATCCATTTCTAATAGGATAAAGAGACACTTTCTCCAGCGCTTGAGACAACGATTGATTATCAACTGAAAGTGTTGTCAGTTGCCATCACTTATGGAGGTCGCTCACTTCTTGTTTACAAAGATCATTTCGTAGAAGCTATCTTTTCGGCCTTTGATTCCTCATCGTGGAAGGTATTTTCCTTTTATATGTTTTAGTAACCACTGTCCTCAACGAATATGGAATCATCTTTAGCTTGATCTTTTTTGAGTGAGATATGTTATTTATCATTTGCTTGCTCATAAATGTGATGGTGTTATATTTTTAAAAGGTTAATGGAGCTGGGGAGCATTTGCTTCGGTCACTCCTAGGAAGTCTTATTCTCTACTATCCTATCGATCAATTCAGGTGCTTGCTTTCTCAGAGTAATAAAACTCAAGAATGTCGACAGTCGATTTTGTACTTTGTTGTTAATTCTCAATGATCGTGAAAACATTATGTTCTTGTTAGATGTCTTTCGAGTCACCCTGCTGCTCCTGCTTTGGAGGAATGGATCAGCACAAAAGATTATTCTGAGGACAAGCAGTTTTTGCACCCAAAGTGGCATGTTCCTTCTGAAGAGGAAGTTTCTTTTGCCAATGAGCTCTTACACCTTCATTTTCAGTCGGCCTTAGATGATCTTTTGAGAATTTGCCAAACCAAAATGCACTCTGATACAGGTGCCTTTTCATTGATTGTGAATCAAACCCATGTTTGAGTTGAAACATTGTTTACCGATAATGTATTTGCTCTTGAAGCTTAATGTGATTATCTCATGGATGCAATTCGTGGTGCAGGGGAGGAGAAAGCACACTTGAAAGTGACTCTTTTGCGTATAGATTCTTCACTGCAAGGTGTTTTGTCTTGCTTGGCTGATTTCAGGCCATCGGCTAAACATGGAATGGCTGAAGATTCATCGTTCTTTATAGCCGGGGCATCAGGTTCAACTGTTGGCAGTACTGAACTACGAGAAAAAGCTGCAGAGATTATTCATGTAGCCTGCAAGTAATTTTTTTTTCTTCCATAAGTTCTGTTTGTTTTTTCCCTTTCGGAGAAGGAAAAATGAAGTCTGAAAATATGTTACTTTGACAATGTTTTCAGGTACTTGTTAGAAAAGAAGTCAGATGACAGCATCCTACTGATATTAGTAATCCGAATCATGGATGCCTTGGGGAACTATGGTAATGGAGAATGCACCTGATGCTTTACTTTCTTTTGCTGTTGACTGTTTCTTGAATTGGATTTTGTTCCATTATTTCAACGTTTGCAGGAAGTCTGGAGTATGATGAATGGTCAAATCACAGGCAGGCCTGGAAACTGGAATCTGCTGCAATTGTAGAACCTCCAGTAAATTATATTACTGGATTTCATTCTAAGGGAAAGCGGAGGTATATAATAGATAT